TTTCTGGGTTCCATTTCTCTTTGTGAGTAAATATTGAACGAAGAGGGTGCAGAAAGGATAATTGGTGCTGGTGCTGATGCTGGAGCTGTGATGATGAGATGTGCCATGAAAAAGAATTAAAAACAAGAAGGACTGGTGAGAGAAGAGTACATCAGTTGCCATAGGGGAATGTTATTATGCGACTGGAATGATGAAAGGAATAGAAATGTAGAAAAATTGAAAGGATCTGAGATTTTCCACGGGATAATTTGGTAGGTAGATATCATCTGTTATAATATTCCAACCAAAGGCTTAGGTTGAGGAAGTTGGGACCAAGTGACTAAAAATGTTGTGCAAATCAATATCCAAATATGTCCTCTATATTGTATCTTAAGCTTTAGAGAGTTTCTGGGTTCCATTTCTCTTTGTGAGTAAATATTGACTTCTCTCACCAGTCCTTCTTGTTTTTAATTCTTTTTCATGGCACATCTCATCATCACAGCTCCAGCATCAGCACCAGCACCAATTATCCTTTCTGCACCCTCCCCTAATACCAGTAATATTTATTTGATTTTACTTAGAGTAAAATATACAGTCTGTCATGCAAACACCTCCAGCTTACATGCAATGTTAAATGTACTGTATATTAGATACAATATAAAGTGCAGTAAGATATAATAATAAAACATAATAAAACTAGTGGCCATGAACAATTTAGAGGCACTACTCTAAGAGCAAAATGCCAAAGCAAATTTAAACATTCATCATGTGCTTACATTGTAATAAAGTCAGCACATATCCTATTTCTAAGAGGTTGTTCTATAGAATGGGTGCCAGAACAGGAAAAAAAAAATAAAAGAAGGTTCCTGCTGATGCCAAACATATATTCACAGGAATGGCCCAACAAGAAAAGCTTCTAATGATTTCAGCTGTCTGTCAAATGTATATAGGAAGAAGTGTTTTCTCCTGTGTAGAAATTTAGGACTTTATAAATGCTTAAGAACACTTAAGAATAAGAAACACAACAGCCAGGTTGCTGCATTATGTACTAGCTACAGCTTCCAGACTATGCAGAAGAACAGTGCCATATCAAATGTGTTAAGTCCTTCTCACTTTAACTTACCACTGAATGAATCACTAAAGGTAAGCTAATCCTGTTCAGGAATGGACATTACATATAAAGCAAAGGAGGTAAAAAATGCTTTTTATCACTGCAACGGCTTGATGCTCTTGCAATTGTGATAATTCTGGGAGCAATTTTAAACAGAATTTTCCTATTTCTCCTCTGGGGTACAAAGCTATTTCTTTGACCTGGAAACTGCCTGTTCCTAGGTTTCAGACACCTCTTGCCTCCTGGCCCCAATCCATTACAATATAAAATTTATTCCTACCTGAAGTTTGCAGTCTTTTTTCGCTTCTGGGAAAATGTTCTCGTCCCCTGAAAGCAATAAGGACAATTAAAACTAGTAAGATTCTGTTGTGAGGATTTAAGGAAGATTTACAAGTTAAAAATGAATTACACACAGCAGCATACAGGTATTCCTTGCTTTTATTAAACCATCAGGGACATTTTTAGGTGGGTAACAAAAATCGGAGTTGTAAGGGCCTTAAAGGACATCTAGTCCAATGTTTTGCCACAAGAAGAGTCCACAGTGTGAGAGGAGCTGGCTTACTCATCTCCTTTTCAGTGCTGTTTCCTTGCAAACTTCTCTGATTCACCTCAACAATATTGAAATCTTTCCCAAACCGATGATAAGGAATCCGTTGTTGCTGACATAAGGTTTTGTTCAAGACATGGAAATGTAAAGAGCACACGGACCTTTACTTTTAAAGTGCTTGTAGAAAAATTGTAGCAGGCCTTTTGCAGTGCGGTAAACAGTTGCAGAACAAGAACATGAGGCTATTAATTGACATTCATTCAGTATTAAAATGCTTTCGCTCAATTTACTACATCATGTAAGTTACATTTGGACTGGCACACTGCATATTAAAAGACATTTTTATCATTGTTTTGGGGAATTAACCAATTTGTAGAAATATAGAAGCAAAAGTCATATCTCACAGTTCCAAATTCCTTCCCCTGTAGAAAATGTGGGATTCTAAGTTGTTCATGCCAGCTGGGGATTATGGGAGGTGAGTCTTGTCGTGCAGAGTGATAATCACAAACATTCCTGTTTGTGCAGAGCCCAGCAAAAACTCCAGGAAAATATTAGCCATGAAAGCAAACACATCAACAGTGCAGCTATTCGCATTGCAATGTCCATTTCTTGTTTCCCAAAGAAATCCAGTCAA